CGGGGGATGTGGGGTCCACGGCACGGCGGGGGGTGCCTCGCGCCGCCAGCCGACTTTAGGCTGATGAAGCAGCAGGGTATGACGAAGGGCGCCGACGCGTGGGACAGGGACAGGGAGAGGGAGGGAGAGGGAGGGAGAGAGAGAGAGATGAAGGGGAGGGGGGCGTCGCTGGGGTGGCACTCTTTTCCCACCGGGCACGCGTCAGCCTCATCCCGCACTTCGTCTCGTACTACAACACCACCGCATCCTCGAATTATAATTTCGTAATAAAAATTATTGCCCGTGTCTCGTATGGAGCACGCTCGCACTCTCAGAGCCCACGTCAGCCAAGGCTGCACTCTACGGGGAAACGACAGACGGGTTTGGAGTCAGAAAAAAAACAACAACTCCAAATGAATCAGGAAGAATACAAATACCTTTCACGATATGCTGATTGCAGATGAAGTTTTAGCCCACCCTTTCCGCTCAGAAAAAGAAAAAGAAAAAAAAAAAATGGAATTATGCAATCAATCTTGTGTACGGATGTCTGGTCAATATAACGAAATTGCTATAATGCATAGTTTCAACCATATATTTTGTCTGAGCGCAAAAGCTGCAAAATATTGTGTGCAGGGTACATAGCAGTAAATGTAATCTTAAACATTGAAACGTCACTCGACTTTTGGAATAAGCGAGGCTTCTAGCGCCCCGCACATGAGGAGGTTTTCGGCTTTGCCAAGCATCATTCTGTACCTATAGTGGCCATATGGCATGATGGGAATGTTCGGAAAAGTCCATTCCAATGTAGCGTTCTCGACCGCGTAAACTCCCTGTAAATATAAGTAATTATAGTTGTTATGTTTATCATGCTCTTGCTTTTAAAGCCTAAAAATATTCAATATTCAATGGCAATTTTACTAGAAAGAAAAAACTGTAAACCAAAAACAGTCTTGTGCTTGCTTACAGGTTGGTGACTGCACATGCCGTTAATTTCTCTCTTCCTAAAAAATAGGTCGTATAATGCAGGGGCACCTGCTCTGTAACGCGTGCATGCTTTGGATTTCACCAAAAAGATAAAGGCGTTTTCCTTCCATTGGTTATTTGACCGAGCATCTAAGATTACTTTCATCTGGAAGGTAAAGATTGGTGAATGTAATCGTTTCTCAACCCTGCACCCAAAAAGCTGAGTTTTTGGACCAAGTACATTGTTCGTACACGATCCTTCAATTTTTCAAGTAAACATCAATTTTAAATCGAGACATTTGCACTTAAAAAATCAAGGATCAAGTCCGATGATTTTTAACAGCAATGTCGTACCCAACAGCTGTCATCAAAAGACATATTTACACCTGTCAAGTTCCCAGTCAGTAGTTGTTTTTCCTTTGGTTTACGCGGGTTGAAGTGCGTCGTGCGCAAATGCCATCTCCACGGAAGCGGGCGCTTATCTGGCTCGCACAAGTAAAAGCGGTCTGTGTACATTATGTAAGGGCCCTATGCGAAAAAGAGACGCAAAACATCACCGTGATATGCATTCTAAAAAGGCGTATTCAGACTTACCAGGAAGGAGTTGATGGCTTTACCATGTGTGCCCCCCTGGCTCATGAGGGCTAGGAGCACGAGTGTGCCTGTTGACATCTTGAAACATTACAATTTACAGGTGCACTTCGCTTAGGTTGGGGCTGCTCTGGTTACCGAGGTCCTCTCCTCTACGAGACCTGTATGCTTGTGCCAGCCAGCACATCATGGGCGGCTGCCATGCAAACACAATATTAGTAACAGGATTTCCCAACAATGAAAATGCTCCATACAAAAAAGGTTTCCGGCAACAATTGTAGCGGCGGTCCGTTTTCGGGGCCGATCGTGAGCTGATTTGATAGTGGCACGCAGTCAACTCGTAAATAACGTACGTACTTCAGCATGTAACCGAGTTCGCCTCGCGTGAGGTGTTGAGTTGGGCCGACTGCCGCACGAGCTATCCCATACTTTGGCAGTGGTAAAACACTGGTAAAAGAACCGAGCAACTTTTAATAAATATTTTACACAGGCTTTATTTGCTGTCTATGTCCTCTGAATGTATTGAAAATTCGAAGTAGAGGGCTTTGAACGAGTATACAGAAGCGGGCTCCGGTTGCGATGCAAGATGTGCGATGCAACATTGACAACCTGGATAGCAAAAAGAGGAAGTAGTGGTAAAAACAAAGTCTGATTTTTTGAGGGAAAAGGGAAAAACTTTCACTCTTCCATATTTGAGAAAAACTTTCTCAGATTTTGAGTAAATTTTTCAAAGATTTCCACATTCTTAAAGATGACTTCCTCAAAATTTTGGAAGTTTTTCACAAACTGTGGGCGATTTGCAGGACTTAAGCTTTTCCCTCACAAATATCACCGTGGAATGCTTTAACAATATGGGTGCATACGTAAACATGCGAGGGCGTCAAGTTAGCGAGAGGAACAAGGATAGTAGCCGCCTCCTTCTGGATAAAGCTCCTCGCTGCGCAGCCGGGCGGGTCCACTTGCGGGGCCCTCCGCCTCCGCTGGGCGCGGGCCGCCGCCGCCGCCGTCCAGGCGCGCCGCTTATTGCAGGTCAATTGGGCCAAAATATGGCGCCGGTCTTATCGGGCCGCCAATAAGGGTCGTTAGCACTAACCGCACGGAAGGGATGCGGTTAGGGGGAGGAGGCGGCGGCGGCCGGGCCGAGCAGAGCGGAGCAGCGGGCAGCGAGGGGGAGCCGCAGCCACAACAAGGAGCGAAAAGCCAATCGTGGTAATTTTGTTTACAAAGGTGACGCAAAGAAGAAGAATAAGCGTGTTTTCACCAAGAGTTTTTCCGTTCTCCTTCGCGAGGAATATTTGCCCCTCGAAAGCCTGTGTGTGTGTGTTTCGATGGCTTGAACGAGCCAATATTTTCAAGCAGCGCAAAAATAAAAGAAAGTAAAACTGGCCGCGCGAGTGCACGTGGGAGAAAAAAGGGCGGCACTTATCGAAAAGAAGCAGTGAGAAGTAGCAGATGAGGTGCTCGCGCGTGGGGCGCGGCGCGGTCGGAAGGGGTGAGAACATCGGTGCCGACACCCTCCGCCGCTTGCCTCCCATTCGGATCACGATGCGCTATCAGGAGCGCCGCGCAACACGTTGGCGCTAATCCCGCCGATTATCTATTAGCCATTATCCCTTATCGGGCCGTTGGATCGGGAGGAGGGAGCGGAGCGCCTTAATCCCGGCGAGACGCGCACTCCGCCCCGAAGTGTGTGGAGGCTGCCCACGGGGCGTTACGGGCCTCCGTGCTGAGCAGCGAAAACCAGAGGAAATAGAAGGTAGCCAAAAAGGGGGTCTCTAAATCTCGTTTGCCTTTTTTATGCGCCTTCCCTGCTATTTTGCACACGGCCTGTCGCGTCACTGACGGCCCCTCCCTTCCGCGATGGTCGTTATCGACTCTCCCCGGTGTCACTATCAACTCTTGGGGGTCTCCCGCGTGGTCATCACCACTCCCTCTCGGCTCGGCGCACCCTTCCTCCCCGGAGAGGCAGCGCCGCACGCCGCGCGGTCCTGCCCCCAGGGCGGCGCCGCCGGGCTGCTGCTGGTGGGGCTGCCGGTGATCCGGCTTAGCCGGGGACACCCCGGTCTAAACTGCTGAGCCGGGAGAGAACCGCGAGATAAAATTAAATCGAAAAAGCAATCAGGCCGAGTCATGACGGCGACGCGACGGCGACGAGCTGCACCAGCAACATCTCTTCCAGCAAGGCCGCGGGAGATTCGTTATTCCCAGCCGGAGGATATACTCCAGCTTCACTTTTCTTTGCAGTGTTATTGGAGAATACCCGTGAGGGGTTGGGTTGGATTTGATCTGGACCGAGGCTTTCGCGGCGGCGGCGTATTCAATGCCCCACGCCCCGCCACGAGGCGGACTACGCTGCGGGGCCCAGATGGTGTCCGAGGCGATGTGTGCGAGGGCTCACGTCTGGGGGCTTACGGCGGCGGCCGCGTGGGGCCGGCGGGGGCGGCGACAGAGGGGCGTGCCGGGGCGGGGGGG